AATAAAAAAGTAAAAGTAACTTATATTGGCAATAAGAACAAAAATATATAATATATAATATTTATAGTGTACTGTACTCTACTAACCCTTTCAGTAGTGGCTATCAACTTCCCCTTATTTATCATTTTTTGTGGATATACAAAAACACTGAATGTTAAAATTACATTTTCACTAGGACTAAAGCTGTAGTCAAATTTCAGAAATATCTGCCAACCAAAAATGGATCTTCATGTATACACGATAAGAGTTCCTAACATGAGTTCTGTTTAATTTAAAGTCATTTATTCAAGTTACTGAGGCAGATCGAAATCGACAAACGCATTTACACAAACACAACCAACACTTTGCCGGATACCGGATATTTGAACAACAATGCATTGAACTTTATGGAACGTCAGTTTCAACAACGAATACAAATGTATACAATTATATACAGCAATGTACATATATATATCTATATACATATCTATATATCATATCTAAATACTAAAACTTGTTCTTCACTTAGACTTAGCTTATTATCAACATTTATGTGTGATGATATGATTCTTATAAAATTGGAAATACCAAAATAATTTCACTAATAACTTTAAAACTTTATACTTTTTAAAAAGCTTTGATTAATACTAAAACTATATTCTACATTGAACTACTTGCCGAAATCGTATAATAATATCCTCTTAGTACGGGGGTTGAAGCGAGGATTTTGGGATTTACTCGAGCGCGGCAGGAAACAAGTGGGGAATGCACAAAAACAAGTACTCAGATCCCTATCCGCGCTATTAGGGTCGCCGGTCAGAATACTGAATAAAAAAATTGGTTATTATAGATACCCTATTGCACCTTAGTAAAGCAACGAGTGTTAATCATATTCATTCAAGTTTAAATTTCAAATGTTACCGCGCTCGAAATTTTCAAGGTGACATTTTTTCTCTTTTACTTATGCAGCGTGAAAACTATAAGACAATTGAGTTTTAGACTTTTCTTTGTGCAATTAATTCATGCCGTCTCAAACTGACGCGTTAGTTTTTTTTTTAACAATCAATACTTTTTACTTGATATCCTAATTGGTGTTTCTAACAATGGTGCGTGCCGTATTAGGAGAGTGTTTTATGTGGTGGGTGTACTTGCGTGAGTGCAGGTTCCTCCCTTATAAACATCGCTCACTCACACGCTCGAATAAGTACCAGAATTCTCGCTTTGCCACCCCTAGTATTTTTTTTACTGAAATCTATCTCTTTCAGTGACGTCATTCGAGTTCCATGTCCGAAACGCGCAAGTTATGTTTATTTCATTTTTGTTCGACGCTCTATATACAAGAGTGAGGGATATAGCAGATAGTGTGAACTACGCGCCGCCTATTAATGCAATTTGTTATCACACCGCGGAGATTTTTCAGTACATCTCGAGCTTCCAAAAGCTACAGAGAGTCACGGTGTGGACCGCTGTATCATCGAAAATGGCTTCTAGTAAGTACATATTTTACTTATTATATTTTTACCTTGATTATTTCTAAATTTTTAAAGTGTTTTTATTGTAATTAATTGCGAATTATTTACTCTATAAATATTCTGACGCGCAATATTGGCGTATGATTTTATTGCGATTAAGCGACTTATTTATGCAATATTGTGGAAAAAGGCAGTGTCATGTTTGAGCTGGCGTTCCTTTATTTACTAAATTCGCGAATTTTCATCGTTTTTTTTGGTTGTTTTTAATATGTTTTTATTTAACTTGATTTTTATAATGCATATACGCTATTCAATTATGCCAAGTGTCATTTTAATATAAGTTATCAGAACAAAAAAGTGCGAAATAAAAGTGCAAGTGAGTGATTTATTTGTTTAGTATTTGCAAAAAGTGAATAATTAATAAACATAATTTTTGTGAGCATGTGTTTAAAACCATCAAGTGAACATAGTTATCAATTTTCTAAATAGATTTAATTATCAGAAATACTTAATAAAACTGAATTAGCTATTTTGCACAAAGTCTACGTGACGTAAAGACCTTGTGACCTTGAAATCACATCTTTTCTTCGTGCAATGTCAATGTTATTCAAATTTAAAATCGGTGAATATATTAAGGAGCGTCAGTGGCCATTGCACCACCGATTCGACGTTAATCCCTGAACTTATCTTAATTCTGGATTCAATATTTAACATTGTCTTTTGTTTTTATTTTTCGGTTTTCCATTGTTTTTAGATTTGTCAGCCTAGCGACCGCTTTACATATAAATACAGATGATAATTTTAAATTTAAATTGATATAATTAATCCTTTACAAATTCATAAACAATATTTAGAAAATTATATTTTAATTTGTTTAACTTTAAATTATAATGATACTGAGAACCTTTTGAAGATACAATCCTAGATCCTTAAACATATTTACATCTTATTAATTTATAAATCTGTACATACACATTTATATTATATATTTTAATTTATTTTGTTTTTATTTTCATTTACTTAAATTTTGTTTTTTATTATATGTATGCCGAAGTAACTGATAATTGTTAACCGCTAAAATGTGAGTGTGGGTTTTTGGAATTTTGTGGACTGAATATTGTAGACTTATCTGAATATCGGTGCCCACGATACAGGCATTGCCTAGTGTGGGCATCACTAGATTACCCAAATTAACCATAAATGGTAACTTAAGTTTAATTTGATTTCTCAGTTATGTGCAATTTTTATGTAAGTTATTGTTTCTTGGTTTAATCTTTATTACCTATAATAAAAACTTTTCTTTCTTCTTTCTTTCTTTCTTTGTTAGAATAAAATCAAAATTTTGTGCAGTGATTCAGACAGGGTTTTGATATGGTAAATCATAAGTATCATATTGTAAACAGTGTTTCCGATGTAAAAAAAATGTTTTTCATTGTTTCTTAAAGTAGACAATATCGTACATCAAAACTATTGCAACATGTAATGAAAACTTGTGCAATAATTGCAATTGAATAATCAGTGGTTAAAAAAAAACTCTTTTGTTTTTAAATTATTCAAACTTTCGTGAAACATTATGCTAAACTGATATAAAAACGGCTAAACACTCACGTATATTCGTCCGGTGGCGGCACCGACTAGTTTAATAAATATAAATAATAAATAAAATAATACCAGTACCACTCATCCTGATGAAGGGCCCCCGATGGGCTCGAAACTAGTCGGTGCTGCCACCGGACGAATATACGTGAGTGTTTAGCCGTTTTTGTATTATATCAGTTTAGTCTTTTGTTTTTTTTCCGTTGTTTCCCAACTGTTGATAAGTTAGGGGAACGAGAGGGTGACATAGAGCCACCCATTAAAAAAAGAAAAAAACCTGGACGGTACGGTATCAGTAGTGAGTTTCATGGTGATGTGGGTTACAACTTTATTCCTTACTTAAAAACTTTGAGATACAAGGTTTTTCTTAATCTGACTATAAAGATTTTTTGGTGTGTGAGGATATTTATAATTTGCGCTACAAGACTATTGGGGTGTAGTATTGAGAGCGTCGGTGGCTCTGGGGTTTCAGCACTTAACTTATTATCTGCAGGTCCTGGGTTCGAATCCCGCCATGTACCAATGTGTTTTTCGATTTTAGATTTACATATGTACATTTATCCGAAGTTCTTACGGTGAAGGAAAACATCGTGATGCAACCTGCACATGTCTGCGAAGAAATTCAAAGATATGTGTGAAGTCAACCAACCCGCACTGGGCCAACGTGGTTGACTATGGCCTAGTCACCCCTAGCTAGGGGTAGGCTCCAATCCCCTCGGTGGGGACATATAGTGAGCTGATGATGATGACTATTGGGGTGTCCGTTTCTACACAGTAGTTAATTTCTTCACACTCTTGACACACTGGGGTCAGTTTTGAGGCAATTGTTTGAGGCGTCGGTTTGTAAAAGCTATGACTCAATTTTGTTTGATATTTATTCATGTTTTTTGAAAGATCCCATCACATGCATAATTCAAGTTATACAAATGTTTGCACTTTTATGTCCCATAAACGGTTTTTTTAAACAAAATATGTTTCAATCTTGCCTGACTCACGAAGGAGTTTTACATATTATGCGCCTATGATTATATAAGTTTTTATTTGGATAAGTTCCATTGTAACGGCGTAGAGGCTAAACGACTAAACCGATTTTGACAAGTGACGTAATTCGATTTGTATTCTTCCCCTACCGTTGGGTAAGTCGGGTTTTAGGGCATTTAATTAACAATCGTTCTAAGAGATCACGGGAAGTAGACTGTAGGTTTTCTTTTGATTCGAGAGTGTCATAAATTTGCGGTATAAACGGCTGTATCTTTTGATTGCGTTGGCTTAGAAGTTTGATTATATCACAGCTCCAAGGGACAGTAGACTCGAGTATTAGATATGAATTCTAGCTTGATACCTCACTGAAAAAGAGTCAGACGGACAGGCAACAAAGTAATCCAATAACGCTTTCGTTTTTTTCCTTTGGAGTTACGGAACCCTAAAAATGGTAAAAAAATAACAAGCCAATATAGGTTAAGTGGAATGTTCACAATTATTAAGAGTCGAAACGAAGGTGAAGTCTTTAGGGGCGGGGGCTGTTGAAGCAACAAGTGGAGAAGCAACAAGTTAGCTCGATACTCGGCTTTTTGCTCATATTTCAATTTATTTTATTCATACAAAGCTGAAGGCAAGTGATAATTTATTTTTTATTTTGTATGGGACACTATAAAACAAAAACGAAACTAAATAAACGCCGCGTTAATTTGACTGATTAGAACTTAGATTTTATTTTTACATGTTATAAGGAAACAAAACTTTTTATCGAAATTAAAAAAAAATCACAGTGTGATTTAGAAAGCAACATGCAAACATTCATTTTTGTTTATAAAGATTATATATTTATTTTAATAATACATTTGTAATATCTGTATTCATAAACAAGTGAATGATTTGTTATCTGTGCATTTTATGTTTATTCAGATACACTTCATTAAATATCAGTCTTGCTCAATATAGAGTTTTATAACATCGTGACAGCAGTGTTAAATTATTGTTTTAATAGTAAAGTGTAGTTTTGGTTTCAAATGGAGAACAGTAGATTTCCAGGAAAATTAGTTTTACAAGGTGGGCCAGCAGCGCGCGCTGACGCCTGGCGAAAGTGGTGTAGGGAGTTTCAAGAGTTTTTACAATCATCCGGATTACACAAAGAAAATAAAAAAGTGCAAAGCAGGTTGTTGTTGACTTTAATCGGCCCGGGAGGTTATGATGTGTTTAGAAACTTTACCTTTAGGATGGACGAGGACGCCGAGGACATTGAGATTCTGTTTAAAAAATTTAATCAACATTTCGCATCAAAACAAAATATGTCAATTTCTAGATTAAAATTTTTTACGCGACACCAAAACCGAGGGGAGTCCATAGACAAGTATGTCGCCGCGCTTAAATTGTTGAGTCAGAATTGTGAATTTGAACATTTAGTAGACGGCTTGATACGCGACAGAATCGTTTATGGAGCCGGGAATGGCAACGTGAAGGAAAGATTACTCAGAACCGAGGATCTTACGTTGGCTAAGGCAGTAAAAATATGTCAGGCCAATGAAATGTCTAACGACGCAGATAGGATAAAGAAAAGGCGGATCGTCGTAGTCGGAGCCAGGGGCTCCGAAGCTGAGGGCGCCGCAGCCGGGGTCGCCGGAGCCGGGGCCACCGGAGCCGGGGGCGCCGAAGCCGGTGTCGGAAGCCATGACGAGCGCGTGGAGCACCAGGCGGAGCGGGCCTGGCCGCCGCGGTCAGCAAAGCCACCCGACGGCAGTCAGCATTAATTTTAACCCTTATGTTCATTTTGTATAGTGTACCATACATTCAACTTTATAAAAATATACGATCACTATAAAAACATATTTTAACATATTTTTTTTTAACTTTGTTTTTTGCTTTACTTCAAAAAAGAAATTTTTCCACAATAAGGGTTAATACATTTGAAATCTAACAGGTTTAAACCGCGTAGAACTGCTTTTTTCCATTCATTGTAGAAATACTTGTACCGTAAATATTGTCATCTTTAAACATAGTGAGAGTAATGGCAACATATAGTTGTTTAGTAGGCACGGCAGGGGAAACCTATTTTAACATACGAGCAAATATGCTGGTTTTAATATGTACTTTTTTTTATTTACAGATATTGACTTATATAAAAGCGGTATCAAAATCATAATACCTAAAAATAACGAATCACAAAATATACGATTAAATGCTATTACTGTGAGAACATCTAACAGCGAACATAATGGAAAGATATATGTTAACAATAATCCTGATACGACCGCACTTTCTGTCTTCATTATTAAATACGAACAAATTGTTGACTCAGCTGCGTTAAGTTATGGTGCGTTTGACCCGCCGCCATCTAACGCGTCTGCTTTAAGCAGCCAGCCATTAGGCCACCCAGGCTCCGATAATAGCCAAGCTGCAACAATGCAAGCCACAAGTTCTAACATTTTCGAAAATCCAGAAGCTACGACTTCTAAGGCTAACACTTCTGAAACAAATGATGAATCTCGCAAACGAAGTCAGCTACCGCCCAAGAACGACGTGCCAAAGCGATCTAAGAAGGAAGTTGATGAGACAGAGCCACTTTCGGAGGGAACTTTTACTATAACCGGACACTTTACAAACGTTCCTGAAACTGTTACTAATCCGGAACCTGAGCTTCCGGTTGAGCCCGGTAACGCGATACTGAAAGCAGTAACACAGATGGCTTATAATAATGATCTTACGATCCCTAACGGTGAGTGTCGGTCTATTATCTTTGATTTAAAACAAAATATAAAAACGTAAAAAAGTATCCAGACTACCTCATTGTGGGTTTGATTCCTTATATTTAATGCACCCATATACATTTACAATAAAGTTTTATAGCTCATGTAAACTTGCTTTGATTCTTTTGTACAATGAAATGTTTAACCAAGCAAATTTGCCAAAAAAGTTATCATTCAGGTACTCGGGCGCTTTCTTACATATGACATTGTTTTGTCTTTAATGCTTATTTCCATTTTCCAACTTATGTATGTTTTTTTCAGTTCCAGCTGAGGTCAGTGTGGATGTCGGAGATTGTCCTGCATTGGGTTTAGACGATAGCAGTAACTATTCGTTTGCTTTGACCGAGGAAGAGAAACACGATTCCTTTCTCGATGATTTGATGGTGAGTTAACAAATAAGAATTATTACAATACTAGCTTTCACCCGCGACTCCGTCCCCGAGGAATTAAAAAAAACTTGTTTAGTACATATGTGCTCTTCCAGACTATGATCTACGTCTGCGCCAAATTTGATCAAGATCTGTTCAGCCGTTCTGGAGATACTTTAAAACAAAAATCCATCCATCTATCTATCCAAACATTCGCATTTATAATATTAGTAAGATTGCGCCTAATTCACTTCATTAACAGTGTGTTTATTTTTAACAGTAAACACCACAAGATTGTCTCTCTCGACGACAACAAGTGTCCATAACAGCGGCAGCAAACTTCTTCAGTCGTCTAATATACTGCAAATTAATGTGCTTTTCGAAATTAATATAACCAAATGGAATAAGCTCATGTGGGCATTTATTAGAAATACGAATATTTAATCGTAATCAAAATCATCATCATCATCACCATCTTCATCACCATCATCTTTGTCGTCGTCTGCTTATCCATGACGAATAGATTAACTTTGTAATTCTATGTGTCTACTGGCTCTTGCCCGTGTTTCGAGGAATTTAAAAATAGTAGCCTATGTTTTCTCCCAAATTATGTTCAACATCTATTCTAAAATTTCCCAAGATCTATTTTGCTGTTCAGAGATACCTTCAACAAACAGCCATTCATCAATAAAGATTCGTATTAATAATAATAGAAAGAAGTAATGTTATATTATATTATAAACAGAATTTTTATTATTATTTTATAATTTATACTTACATATTGTTGTCTCCGTTTATCTTTGAAAGAATGTTAGGGACAACAATATCTCTTAATACAAAATATTATTACTCTTTACACTCCGTCCGCGCAAAATTAAAAGAACGCTTAATTATTAGCCTTCCAGACCATGTTTTACATCTATGCTAAATTTCAGCAAGTTCTTTTTAGCGCTTATTGAGATACCTTCTAACAAACATCCAGCCATTCATCCATCCATCTAAACATTCATATTCATATTTTATAATTAAGTAAGTAATATATTTTTCAAATATTTTATGTCAAATTCTTTAGTAATAAGATAAAGGAGTCAATTTCTTTTGGTTGGCACACAGTATGTTTACTGATAGATCTCAATCCTTGACTAAAGAAATTGTTTTCTTAAATTAGTCATATTAAATGAACACTTCAAATGTAAGAAGTATCATCAAGTAGTGATCATGTTATTCAGAATTATATGTATTCAAATAATCCAAATAAATTCCTGAAAAATGAACTTTGTATTTATTAAATTGACATGAAACCCTTCATTCAGGTGTGCTTAAGTTGCGGGCAGAGAGGAGATGAAGTGCTCCCTGAATAAAAAAATATTACTATCATATTTGATGCAGACAAATTCTGACGATTTTGAGGGGCTTAAAGCCTCCCCCTATCTCCCACCTCCCCCCGAATACAATGCATTCGGCCTTTGTTGAATGCAACAATTTAATTATGGTAACACTGGAAATTTTCGAGTGGAAAATATTGTAGACTTTAATTAAATATCTGAACAAATGGGGTGCTGTAGAAACTTTGGACTACAGTATCTCTTAAGAGGATAAGGCTTTCATACCTTAATTATCTTTTATTAAATAAGGTCTTACATTAAAACTGAGCAATTAAAGATTTAAACAGTGTTAGAGTCAGTAATAACATCTCTTGTATCAATATGCCAGCTCGATCGTTGCAATACCACGACCACACAGAAGACAGCAGTGAAATGTAAATCATTCTGAATTTCGTTTTATGAGTTTGCACGCTGAAGGCTTTTTATTCATTTTCACCGCCTCACCCTTTTTATGAGAAAGGGATTGAATGTGGATGGCTACAAAGGTAGCGAAGGGCCAAAAAAGTATAGAATGACTGTGTGAATGAGGATATGCGTGGGAAGGGGGTAGATTTGGATATGACGGCTGATAGAGATTTATGGAGGAGTAGTACATACTCTGCCGACCCTTGATAGGGATAAGGGCAGGTTGATAATGATCATGATGATGAATGGGAACAGGCTTGGGACTTGGCAGAGGAGGAGACGTCTTGAACTACTGAATGTACACCAAGTAATACGATACATTCCTACTTTATGATACCTCGTTACCAAAAACAGTTATGAATTATTAAGCTCTACTTTTAGCGTTAAATCGTCTTAACTAATTATGTATACTTCGATGTTGGTACCAACTAGTCAGTGCTCGGCGAGACGTGCCTACGAATATAGCCCGTTAGTCCACTCATCTTAAAGAAGGACCCTGACGAATCTGAAACTTTACACGAACACCGAAGTCTAAGTGAGTGAAGCCATGATTTTTAATTAGATTTATAACAGTGGTAGAGCCCACTTTAACATCTTCGCACGAATTGGCCCGGCTCGCCCGATGAAATATCACGACCACACAGAAGACAGGCGTCAAGTGGCAGCATTTCCGCGTTTCGTCTGATGAGTGTGCGCCCCGGAGGCCTAAAGTCCTCTTTCCCTTCCCACTCTTTTTCTTATAAGGAAAGGATGGGAAGTGGAAGTGGACTTTCCGGATGAGAGGATGCATGGGAAGGGAAAATATTTACTTTCTGTGCATCCTCTCCTCCGTCGATTAAAGGTAGGCAACGCATATGCAATTGCGTATGTCTATGGGCAACGGTCACTTCGCTATTTCAGTGATTCAGGTGGTCGCTCGCTCGTTTGCCACCTTATGATTTAAAAAAATAGTTTAGTATAATGTCTCAAGAAAGTTTTATTAAGTTAATAGAAATATCTTTTCTGTAAAAACTGAAGTCTTATAAAGGGCATCAAAATTATTTAAAGTAAGAAATGTATTAGTTCATTGCAGCTTTTATATTTTTCATTTACAGCTTATAGAAAGCTTTTTACAGACTAGATGTGTAAATGGAAATTAAAATTTTACATCAAAGAGAAAGATGAATCGTTTGAAAAATTCCTAGCAAAAAATTTACGTGAACTGTCAGACCTTCCGTTTCGCTGATTCCTTTTAAAACTTTATCTGCGTTCGCAAAAGTGTTCATATTCAATACTAGGAAATTCGCTCGTACATATGTTATTTTACAAAAAAAAATATTTCCATGAAGCAATTACAGTTGGATATTACGTAAAACGTATTATTAAATAATTTTTTCTATACATAATTATTAACAGGGAAATAGTAAAGATAATTTAGGGGTGTGTGTATGTCGTGACTGCAGGGTGGTTGAAGTCGACATCTGGGTGTTTTCTTGGGCGTTAGATATAAACGTTTTCTATTCCTCGCACAATTACTATTTAATCGATTTAAAATTTATCTGCAGTTTCTTTGGTGTTGCGCATGTCCATGGGTGTCGTCGACCACTCCAGTGTTTCGCCGTTCATTAGCCCCCATCTCTTATAATAATTATAAACACAAAGAGGGGCAATGTTCGCTCGTCTTATGGAAATATCGAATAGCGAAACGCCTCATTAAATCTGTCTTAAGAATTATTATTTCGTTTTTAGAAATAATATTTCTTTATTTTCATTATTAATGCCGTAAAAAATATATTACTATACGAGAGAATACGAGTTTATAACCATTTTATTTTGGCTAAATTCTAATTATATTAGCGAATCTGTAAACTTAAAATCATTTTTTGGAATATTTTGACCTTTTTGATATATTTTCCATAAATAATCTACAAATATAATAATAATTATAATATTTATTACGATTTCCTAATTCCTAAAATATTAACCTTTAACATAACAAACGTGTGTATCATTAATTTAAACAAAAACTACATCCAACCATCGCTTTCTCGTCAGAAGAGAATTATCCATAATAAAGTTTCGAACTCGGGCACGAAATGCAGTAGTTACAACAACTTGTTAGTAACTGTTTCAAAGGGCAGTTCTAATATATACCGTATACTTGAATATTTTGTACATCGCGCAACATATTGTGTTATTGTAGATTTTCATCATTATATTCAGTAGATAAATATAGATTCTGAGGTAGCTAAGGTTACATTGTATTGTTAACCCAAAATCTTACTAATATGCATAATATAAATGATAATGTTTCGATGTATGGACAGATATATGTTTATTATCTTCGAACAGCTGCATAGATATCGATGAAATTTGGCATAAATGCAGATATAGCCTGGATGAGTACATAGGTTACATAGACAAGATTAAGTACTGTAAGTGACTTCTTAAGTAAATGAAATCCTGTTTACTTGTTATAATAGTTAACGAACTAAAAATGTCTAAATAATTATGACAGGGTAATAATCAATACTTACAGTGTTGCATTATTCATAAATTCATAGTTCGTAGCAGTCGTCTACGAAGGCTGTAGACGCGGCCGTAGCTGGTCAACAACATGCCCCAAGTTAAAATAAGCCCCTGCGTAGACGATTTCATCTAACGTTTCCAAGATATTTTATGACAGTATTTTTTTAACAACTTCAAAAATAAAGTGTTTATCAATTTGTTTGTTTTTTATGTGTGTACCCACATAACTTCGCTCCTGGTGCTCTGATTTTGATAATTACTTTCGAAAGGTAGTGCTTGCAGGAAGGTTACAACTTTTTATTAATCTTTAATTTCAAAAACTGACTCGTAGATTTTGATTTTTCTTTATAAATTTGTTAAGAAAATAGAGGTTATTTTCTAAGACTAATTTTCCAGTTTAGTTCTTTACCTGATTGTCGTACCCACATTTTTAAGCAAAATTTGTAATCGAATTTCAAATCTACTAAAAATCGAGAAGTAAAAGTTGATAGAGGTGTTTTTTTAATTGATCATTTTTGCCTTTTGCAAATTAACTAACTAATTTTTTTTATAATTAAATTTTTGCAATAATTACTTACTATAAAAAGGATATTTGAAAAGAAACAACCAATTTTTTTACAACATTTATTAAAATTGCTGAATTGAAATCCTACATCTAAGCCAAGCAAATATAAATTATTTCCAATAAAATTACTTCTATGAAATTTTCTGTAATATCAAATCTACATCGACAGTAACTAGACAATAAATAGAATTACAATCACCATCATCATCATCATTACTACATTATCATCATCATCCTTCCAGTGATTGTAACATATACATATATTTATATAATACTTCATTATATGCACGTGAAAGTAAAACTAAAAGGTAAAATATCAAACATTGCGCTACAACTGTCTTATATGCCGCGACATTTTGCAAAACCTCACAACATTCGCAAAAGTGCTTATGTACATAATAAAGTACAGTGCGCAACAAATATTAAACGCGACAAATTTATTCGCAATAGCATACAGTTATAATTCACAATTGTCAGCTAAAAGATCTTAGTAATTTCTTCTCGTATAACTTCGTTTTAACAATCATACTATACATAAATGTTCTTTTTATCAACATAATATCATTTAAACATTTATCAAAGACCAAGCGCAGAGCTGAAGAGAGAACGAGATGGTGGCGTAACAGATATTATAGCTTCCTGCGTATTAGACTTGGAACAACAAATTTTTTCGCCGCTGTAAGCACAACTGACACTATAATACAATTATAGTGTGTCTATTTAAGTTAGGTTTGACAACTGCCTATAAATTATCGAATTACCTTTGTATAAGGATTAATATTGTATTTAATAGCCGGTTATCGTAGTGTCGGATCGTACGCGCATTGCGAAGTATCGAGAATCGGCTTTG